AAAGCGGGCTGCAAGATCAGCTCACCGTCTTGTAGTCTCCGAAGTCGCCGGGAGCGCTGCTGGCAATGGAATACAATCTCAGCTTGTGGGGTTTTCCGTTGGCGTCAACACCTGGTGGAACGATTCCGATAGACTGTCCCTCTCTGTATGGCACCTTTCCTGAAACCACGTCATTCAGTGGAGATAGTATTCGCGAAAAAAAAATACGAATTTTAGTATAGTAGGTGAGCAATAAGCAAAAACGGAAAAAGAAAGAAAAATGAAAGAAAAAAAAAAAGAGTGAAAAAAAAAGAAGTGAAAAGAAAAAAGAGTGAAAAAAAAAGAGCGAAAAAAAAAAAGAGTGAAAAAAGTTCAGGTAACGAAAACAGAAAAAAAAAGAAAAGAGTCAGTGGAAAAAATCAGTGAAAGTAAAGAAGACAAAGTTGCCATGAATCCCATCACATACATAGGGCCTCGATCCACTACACAACACTCAGGCTCTACATGCATGTCGACATTTTCTGGGACCCGATACAATCAACATTTTGAATTCGTCCGCCGAGTGCATCTGGTCCATTAAGCGTCCAAATGCATGTAGAGTGTTCTGTAGTGGAGTGACGGCCATAGCCGAAGACGTGTAAAGAAGGCTCTGGTATGCTGTAAGAGGGACGCTGGGCCCGTTTCCCAGGAGGTGCAGGGCCCCACCAATAGATTGGGCAGCCGACACGGGACCTACTGGGGGAGGCTGCTCATATCAGCCCCACTACCTTCTTCCCCCGAATACAACGTACGGTCATTATAGCTGAATTTGGGGCATCTTTCAGTCTAAATTCAGCTATAATGACCGTACGTTGTATTCGGGGGAAGCCTGTAGTAGGCCCGAAGGGCTTTTGAAAAAAAAAAAAAAAAAACGTTTACCATCTAGGCTACCAGCCGGGCCGCCTGCGTCATCTTGTTTGCCCAGGAGGCCCGGCCGTGCAAGGAGGACCAAAGAAGGTCCCAGCAGAAAACCAAAACCGTTACCAAAAAAAATGATAAAATCCAAAAAATCTGAAAAAATACTTTATGTTTAAACTGAGCAACTTCTGCCTCAAGGCTCACATCGAAATTCTTTACCAAATTTAAAATACAAAATAAAAATAATATATTTATATATTATATATATGTATATATATCGTCAAACAGAGCTGCCCGGTAAACCGTAGGCAGAGAGACAGAGAAGAAGACAATGTCACATCCCCTCGTTTGTTGTCCTCATCTTCCTCCCTGCCTACGGTTTTAACCGGGCCGCTCTATTTGACGATATATACACACACACATATATATATATATATATATGTATATATATATTAGAAACTCCGACGAAACAGTTTGTCACAGCCCCTCGTTTGTTGTCCTCTTCTCTCTCTCTGCCTACGGTTTACCGGGCAGTTCTGTTTGTGACGATATATATATATATATAGGGTTCAGCCTCCTGATGAGTCGGTGAAACTCCGACG